CGATACATTGAAAACAAAAAACAACGGCATCATAGACCGGCGCTCCGTCCCTTTATATCAACTCGGTACCACTCATCAGATGGCCTACACATACGGTCGCTATCATGCTCTGGATACCCCATCGATCTCATCGGGCAACGGGGCTCGAAATGTATCTACCACCACCTCATTTACTTCGCTTCATTTCCTTTGTCGAAAAATATCGCGCGTTGGATATCCGCTGGATGTCTGCGGTAACAAGCGCAACCATGGGATAGGCAGGGCTTGCCTGGTCACTTTTATAAACAAATCTGCCTCGCACGACACGAGGCAGAAGGGAGAGGAAGCCGGCGATCGAGGTTCGAAGCCAAGGGACAGCAATGGCTCACCATCGCGTCGAGGTTCCTCTGGAAGGGGCGTTTCGGGGACTTCCACATGTGTACGCTGAATTGTGTTGCATCTTCGAGTCTTTTGCATGAGCGATGAAAGGCACCAGATACGCTTTTCATCTGGCCGAAATGGAGTTGACGATTGAAGAAGTTTTTTTATTTACTTATTTTTCTCAAAGAGAACTTTTTGTTTCTCTTGTCTCTCTGAGGAGAGGACGTAGATGGACACATCCGGACCGCGAGCTTGAGAAGCCATGTCCGCAGGATTTCGAAGCAAATTTATCAAAGTTTTAAATGTTCAATACTGTTCCAAATATGTCATGTGAATGTTTGATGAGGCTGTAAGGTAACATTGTCCATCGGTACCACCTGGTTATCCTAACATGATCATCAGACTCCTTGTAAGCAGATTCCGTCTTGGAAGAAAAAAGGGAACCATGCCATCATGGTCGTCCCTTGATGACAGAATTGCCTCAATGTCGGTGAGCTGATGCAGGTTGACGGTGCGATGCAACTCAAAAGTGGAGTTTTGTTGGTAGTCCACTGTCCACAACCCCAGTATTTTATCCAAAGCCGACTTTTGATCTATAATCTTTTCCGATCCGCCCGCCCGTCCGTCTGTTTCATATCCTTTGCTTTTAAGTCTTGAAAGCGCTGCTGTGGGATGGGATGGTCCCGTTGAAGATGGCGGCGGCATTGGCATTGGCATTGGCATTGGCATTGGGCTTTTGCCGCGCCGGGCTGTGGTGTCTTCTTGGCTGGGGGTGGCGCTATAGCGCTACAGCGGGTTCACCATCGACCTAGGCTTCCATGGCTTCCAAGTACGAACCTAGGATCTTGGCCTCATGTGTGACGCAGCCACAGTCTGCGTGATTCAGCCCAGGTGAGGCGAGGTATGTGTTCAAGGTTGGCAAGATGAGGCAAGGCAAGGCGGGAGAGCACGTGTTGTGGGCGAGCCTGCGAGGCTGTTTTTCCATCTTTTGACAACCTGTGACACCATACCATAAAAGAGAGAGAAGGGGGGGTGAGATTCCCGCCAAGGATTTGGGTTTTTCCACATAAGCGGTCGGCTTCTCACTCTTTCATCGGGCCAGGGATGCGAATTGGTTTTCTCTTTCCAAGATTTTCCTGATGCATGTGGTCATGGCAAGGGTATTTTGACGGGAAGGCTAAGAGGGGGGGTTTATTCTCGCTACTGTTTGTCGAACGGGCGGGGAGGGGGGGTTAGAATCTTTGAAGTTTAGAGGTGGCCAACGAAAAAAAGGGACGACAAGGGGCTTGGGTTTCTGAGAGCACATTGGAAATTGGCATCGGACGAGGGGGGGGGAAACGACGTTCAATCAACGGAACGGGCGTTGGTGATGGCACGGCATCCATCATCGGCTGCCCGGGGAGGTAAGGCACGTTGGCACGTAGAGTGATAGGCAAGTATCCGTAGGAGGCAAGTAAAAAGGCAAGACGGATAGGCGGCAGGGCTGGGAGAATTGAGAGGGGAAAAATCGACAAACGGTTTCTTGATGGGAAGCCGGCCGCCGGGTTGGCGTCTTGGCAATCCGGCAGTGCAACTGCACGGAGGTGGGGGGTTCCCGGTGCCTACGGATACCTGACCTTCTCTTGTTGGTTGAGTACTTGAGACAGAGGTTTTTCTTACTATTCTTGGGGGTTTTGGATGCACGAAGGGGGGAAATGTGATGCAGAGTTGTGGATGGATTGCAGCAGAGAGAAAAGACTAGGGAAATCGGGATCGGTTCCTATGTCTTGTCTCTGAACCTTTGGAGTCAAAAATCTGCTGGTGCTGCTGCATCTGTCCGGATACCCGAGGTTTCCCTCTGCGACCTACGGAGTACTGCGCGGAGATGGATGGTTGTGGTACGTATCCCGCCGGAACAAGCGCCTGCGCACGCGCGCTTGTACGTATGTGCGCTACCTTACACTATGGTACATGTATGATCAAGGAGGAGGAGATTCAGATTTGGAGAGTAGGTATAGTGACGACGTAATCCCCAATTAACCACGTGATAACGAAAAGAGAGGAAGTGGAAGAAAAGGGGGGGAACCACCTCGTGGTGGTGACCTTATTTGGACATAATCGTTCGGGTTCTGAATGACTGAAATCAAAAAATTGCACGAGCTTGTCGGACTTTTTGAGTTGTCCGATGATTGGGACGGATGAACCACACAGTTGGAGAGTAAATGTTCGGACATGGACCGCTGGGTGGACCGTGAGGTTTCGATGATCAATGAAGCGGGTACTACGGAGTAGCAGAGGAGGAGAAAGAGAAACACTGAAGTGTGATGCCAGGAGCAAATCATAGCAGAGGAAAAGGGGAGAACCGAGAGAGCAAAGAGTTTGGCTGCTGGCAGCATGTGCCTTGTTCCGTCGTCGTCGTCGGCGGGATGGGCACAGGGGTTTGGGTGGTGACGAAGACTTGGGTCGGAATGTGGGGGTGAGGGAGCAAAGACTCAAGACCGAGGGGGGGGGGGGGGGGAAGGAAATCCCACCACCGGTTTGCTTCTGGCGTAATTCCCGAGCGGCTAGTGATTTAAGGCTTGCGCGTTGCGTCTGGGCGCTTTTTTGGTACTGTCTTAAACCCGTTTTGGCTATAGTGTCCCGTTCGTCCTAAAGTAGACAAGGCACAAAAGGGGAAAGGATACTGAGGTAGGTTGGTGCAACTTTGCGTACGTGTGGAGTGCCGGTGCCGACGGAACGGGGACGCCAGCGATTTTTAAGATGAAAAGGGGCATCGTCTTTGAGACGGGATGGCGTGGGTATGGACCGTAAGGTGGTTGCACTGTTACAGTAGGCAGACGTTGGTGTTGTATAGATATTAAAATAATGACTATACAGCATTTGAATGAGGGTGATTGGGGGTGATAGAGGCCAAGGTACGGGAGGTATGGGGCAAGTCCGATGGTGGTGATTGGGCGCGTTAATACGAGGTACGAGGAGCAAGCGAAGGGCTGAGCTTAGCATGTCTTCAGCCTTGAGGAATGTGGATTGGAGAGGACCAAAGTCAGGTGACGAAAGAGGTCAGTAAATTGCTTCCGAGGTGCTCGATTTGGGAGCATCGGAGATGGAGCTTTGCTTACGGATTGGGATCAAGCTTTCTGGATCCACGACATGGAATGTCAATACCTGTGTTATGGGTATGGCTATTGTTAGTATGATCAAGGGCGGCTTCCGTGTTGTCGACCTAACAAGGCATCATTTCTTGGTCAACTATTGTTGAAAACATCCATTTTAATTAAGTCACCATCACTTTTGCCTGAAAAACTGTCTCGTTAACATAAGATAACTAGGAAAAGAAGGAAAATTTTTGACAAGATTTGCATGCAGTAAGTATTTAAATATGAAAATGATATTTGTTATTTTACCTAACTTATCTATTTACATGTATTGTTCCATGAACGGGCGTAGATTGCAAATCGTCAACTTTTATATGCGGACACGATGAAACAAATTGAAGTTGATCCTCATCCTGGGGCGGTCTTAGTCCTCCCTTTTTCAGAAATATCCGGAGGTTACCGAAACACGTATCAAAGATTCTCTACTCATATCACACAGCTACATGACGTGAAAGCTAAGTAAAGAAATTGTTTAACAGTGTAGAAAGCCGAAGGCAGACACTGTGATCAAATGAAGTTCTAATCTTTTTTTAAGTAAGATATCGCATTGATGTAAACGAGAAAGATCGAGACATTTGGTCTGTTGTTTTGATCTTTAACCGGCTGTTGACAAGTTGACCTTGTGAACCAGAAACATAACTCCCCAGTGAAAGCGAGTGTATGGCTCCCGAAGGAGACTTGATTTTCTGTCTTGCCCCCTGAATCTTCAGAACATACCTACCATGTATAAATGTAGCATGATGAGTATATTGCCCTTTTTGTACGAACATGACACAAACCATCCCACACGCTTGGATTTTCCCGAGGTGTTCGGACCAAGAATTATGGCTCTATACAGGACGCGATGGCATTTTAAATCATCATTCACGGTAACCTCGCGCTTGTTTGATATGCCGTCTCCGCTTACAAACTCTCTCCAGCCGCGGACTTTGAGCTGGCGGCCCGGGGAGATAGGACAATTGAATGAGCTGGACCAATAGCAGCCTTGGCATTTGGCATAGCCAAGCCCGCATCAGCCAACTGGTATCCAGTTTATACTCGGCCATCAAGAATTCGGCGCCTGGAATGTTTCCGAATGATCATCATTTCATGATCATTAGGTATTCTACGACAGCGGGAAGCATGTTGGGAGGGAAAATAGTAGTTGTCGGGGTGCAGCCCGGGGTAAAGTGGGACTCCCGGGCTCACATGGCGGGGACATTAGCCATCCCGCATTTGCCGCTTGCGGGTGGTACGAAACTCGATACCAATCCCTCGTGGTCATCGTCTCAAATGATGAAATAGAATAAATGTTTAAATATCTCCTCTCCGCATCGTGGCAAAATAAGTTTTTCATCTCTCGTCTCGAGGTTTACAGTATCCCAATAGCAGCCCAACTTTGTGTGTTCCATTAAAAACGGTCTTCTTGTCTCCCCCGGCATCCGTACTCCTGCACGCGCCACCACCACCACCCAACACCAAAAGAACTCGCAACCGCACCCGAAGCACCACAGCTCAGATCGCACAATGGCGGGCCACTTCCGCGCCTCGCTGGCAGACCCACCCGCCAAATCCTTCCCGGATCGGCCCCAGTTCTCGGCCTTTATGAAGCCGTGCCGCTTCGAGGGCGAGGTCCGGAATCTGGAGGTTGTCGGCACCGTTCCCACCGAGCTGGACGGCGCGTTTTTCCGTGTGATGCCGGATCCCCAGTTTCCGCCGTTTATTGAGAATGATCCTGTATGTACCTGCATCGAGGTGCACCATTTTCTTTCTTTGCTATAACCTTCTGGTTTGCTGTGAAATTACATGTTTATTTCAAAATATGGGAATATTGTCTAATTTGATGCTAGTGGTTCAATGGGGATGGAAATGTATCAGCATTCCGCTTTCACAATGGCAACGTCGATTTTCAACAGAAATACGTGCGCACAGAAAAGTTCGTTCGAGAACGAGAGGCAAATCGAGCTCTAGCAGGTTAGTCAACTACATCCTTACTTCTTCTCACCATGATTTGCGACTTCACACGACTCTGACACCCTATTTCTCGTAATGATACAGGCGCATACCGCAACAAATACACAGACGCAGTCGAGTTCAAAGTGCGCACCACAGCCAACACCAACATCTTTTACTTCAACAAGTCCCTTCTCGCCATCAAAGAGGACGCGCCGCCGTACCTCATGGACCCAATCACGCTCGAGACAAAGGGACTCTGCGACTTTGACGGCCAACTTCCGAGCTGCACCTTCACCGCACACCCTAAACTGGACCCCGCTACGGGCGAGCTTGTGTGTTTTGGGTACGAGGCTAAGGGCGACGGGACGCCTGATGTTTGTTACTTCAGTATCGCCCCCGACGGCAAGTTTCTCGAGACTGTGTGGCTTGTGGCGCCTGTTGTTGGCATGATTCATGATTGTGCTGTGACGGACAACTGGGTATGTGTAGCGTGAAAAGTAGGAGACTTGTTGTTGGCTTGTTTGCTGACCCTGCTTAGGTGTTATTCCCGATGATTCCACAGATATGTGATATTGACAGATTGAAGGCGGGAGGGGAGCACTGGCAATGGGACCCCAACGTGCCCTTCTACCTAGGCGTTCTACCCAGACGCGGCGCCAAAGGAACCGACGTAAAAGTAGAAGCATGCCGTTTTCCTCACCATGTTCTCAGCGTAGCAACTAATCACATCTCTCTCTACTTCACAGTGGTTCCGCGCTCCAAACGCCTTCCCAGGCCACACCACAAACGCTTACGAGACCCCCTCGGGCAACATCGTCTTCGACCTCCCCCTCACAGACAAGAACGTCTTCTTCTGGTGGCCCGACGCCGAGGGCAACGCCCCGGACCCGCACGATATCCGCGCCGAGTACGTCCGCTTCGAATTCGACCCGCGCGCCACCTCGGACGCGGCCCTCGACCTCCCCGCGCCGACGCCCATCCTCCGCCACGACATGGAGTTCCCGCGCATTGACGAGCGCGTGCTATCCAAGCCGCACCGGCACAGCTTCTTCGACATGATGGACCCGTCCTTGGGCACCGATTTTCCTGCCATTATGCCCGTGCTGGGCGGGGGGCATCCGCTGTATAATTCGTTGGGGCATCTTAATCATGAGAGTGGGAAGTTGGAGGTGTATTATCCTGGGTCGCGGCATATGGTGCAGGAGCCTGTGTTTGTGCCGAGGGGGGAGGATGCGGAGGAGGGGGATGGGTTTTTGATTGGGCTTGTGAATAATTACGCGACCATGTCGAGTGAGTTGCATGTTATTGATACCAAAAGATTTACGGAGCCTGCGGCGGTGGTGAAGGTGCCTATGAGGTTGAGGGCTGGGCTGCATGGTAACTGGGTTGATGGGAAGGAGCTGCGGCAGTGCCAATAATGCCTCTGGCTTGGAGATACGGAGCATATCATTTGTACGTTCAATGATGTACATTCAGAGAAGATACCTATATGCAGAACTAAATGAGCGCGTAATAGGGGGATACACTCTCGATGCTGTAGTATGGAATGCGTGTCAGAGATGTCAACGAAGGAGACCAGAGTCTGTCCATGAACTCAAGTCTAGATCTCCATCCAACGCGTTGTCGAGCTCACATTCCCTTTCAACATTGTTCGACCCAAGTTACACTGTTGTCCCAATAGGTCCAAACCGAATGTTGGACCATGCAACTTTACTATCGAAATGTTAGGTATCACAAAGGCCTCTCATCCTGGCTACTTCCATAGACTTACGCATTGGGATAATATCTCTCAACCTCTTGAGGTGCAGGTCCATTGCCCCATGAAGGACAAGGACCTCGCTCCGCTCCAGGAAGACCTGCACGATCCGGAGGGAACGTAGAATCAAGCCAAAGGTTGTTGGCCCAGTGCTGCGTGACAGAGTTAGCTCGTCCTCAAGAAGGGGTAGAGGTGCGCGTGCAAGTGCGTGAAGAACTTACATCATTCGAGATGGACATCGTCAGGATCATGGGGCGTCGGAGGGCCTCATTGTGACGTGCGTAGCCGCCGACTTGAGCAAAATATTCTGCATCTTGAAAGTTTGTGGGTAGAGATTTGCAGTAGTCAAGACTCAGTCCGCTGGTGTCTGGAAATCCGGGGTAAGATGCCGCGGGTGTTTCGATCCTCTTTCCATCTTGGATGAAGAATTGCTTGACATCGTCTTCACCGAATTGAGTGACAACACTATTCAAGTCGTTTTTTTAGCAACCGCTCAAGAATATTGTGTGATTTTGAGGAAAAGATGGAAACCTGAGGTCACTGGCGAGGTACTTACGTGAATTTTCTACTTGTGTCAACCATCTTTCGCTTACCGTAGAATTCCTTTTCGCCAAGTCTGTATGGATTGTAATCGCATCCAAACCTGTCACACATAACTTGAACGGAACCCTCTGTGTTGGCGGCATCACAGTCCAAAGCTTGACAGACTTGATAGCCAGTGTCGACGCAAGGTTTCGAGATCATGGAGTATGAGTGAGCATTGGAGTTCCTGAATCATTTGGGGCATGCAGTTAGTCCTCTCTTCTGATAAAGCACACTAAGATCCTTACCAGACATCAAATTCAGCACAACAAGCGCCGTAACTCCCTATTCCGCGGACTTGATCGGTCTCTGAAGGTACCCAACCCTCGATATTTGCCTGCGTGGACAAGCTGAGTCAGTCAAGAACTCACATCGTGATGAATTACAAGTGAACATGACGACCCGCATACTCACCTTTCCCCCGACAAATCGATTACTCCTAGGACAACTCGCATCACAATACCCAGTTCCATACCTCGCCCCCGCCTCGTTAGTAGGATACCTCGCCATGCCACCATCAGGCTCCATAGCCACAAAGTACAGCGCACTGTTGATAGCACACTCAACAGACGACAACTCAACATCAAAAGCGAGCTCACTCCCCATCAGCACAAAAGTCTGATACCGATCCGTCCCACCCGACTCTAACAGAAAGACGCGCGAGTTGACGTTGGAGGAGAAGGCAGCATGCGTCACGAACTTCTGTGACAGGGTGTTTCCCCCGGTAGTGGTGATGCCGTATCCGTCTCTGTAGCTCTGCGCGTCTGCTCCCTCAAGAGCGCAGGTCGATGTACAGGAGGCGGTCGTATTGCACTGCGCGACGTCCCATTGGTTGCCTGTGTAGCAGTTGCTGATGCTGTTTGCGTTGCGGAGCCAGCGCCATTCTGCGTCGAGGACGACCTCTGCGTCGATGGTAGAGCAGGAGGTGGTTTCGTTAGAGGATATACTGCATTTTTGCCAGGAGAGTTGGGGGTGTTGTTCTAGGACTAGGTTGCCTACTTTTTGAGCGGCGACCAAGGCTGCGAGGGCGAGGGTGATGGTGGCTAGAGCATGCATGATCTTTGCTTGAAGATGCTGATAGTCATAGGTTACTGGGGATGCAACGCAACCACATACAATCGAGCTAGATGTGTTTTATAGTTGGAGATTCAGGGGTATTTCTTGATCGAGCATTTAAGTAGTTCATGCCTGTTTCGGAAGAGATGCCATTATTGCAAAAGGAGTTCAGAGTAAGACACTCAAATGAGATGGAAAGGAATCAAAGCAGGTCAGAATATTGTCGTGGTCATGAGGAGGACAAGCGCAGCTCGTAAATGTAAAGAGCCGGAACGTGATTCTCCTTGTGGTCGACACCAAAAAGAACATGCTCTCGGCAAACCCCAATCTGACCAAACAGTGTGTCGGCTGCTGACGTAGGATCCGGTTGAATATGAGATAAAGTCGTCGCTGACACATTATCATCTTGCCTCAAGAAGACCCAAACTCATCGGGCGCTGCAACCTGCAGGTCGGTCCTCGTATGGCAGTCTTCGGACTCGTATTGCAAAAGTTACTTCTCGAGGAAAACTTCTGAAAGCGGTCTCCCAAGAGATTGAAGAATCGACAGTTGATAGTCGCAATCTTTGAAATCGATATGAAGTTGCTTCGCCGCTCGTACCACGGCTCATCGTTCGAGGACAACCCGATTGAGGGGTTACGGGCGATGCCGACCGGAAAAGTGGACAGTCGCATCGTTTTACCGGCCCCACAGTCACCGGAGCCCGGCAAGGGCAGTTTGGGTGGTCGGCGAGCTGGATTGTAGCCGAGAATGGAAGATATGTACCGTTCCCGCATTGAAAATAGCAAGATATCTTCCGATCTACTGGTATAACAAAGTATCTCTTCAGCGCTGGCTTGATCTCCATTCCCACTGAAATTTGGTTCTCGAGTGCGCCTGTCTTCAAGTCAATCTTGGGATTCGAAATCATTGCCCGAGAGCTCGGGTGGTCTGTTTAACCGGAGCATGCATTGCCATTGAATCATTCTAATCATGTAGAACCTCCCTATGTCATCTAGATACGTTCTCCCTTTTCATTAAACCTCTGAACCTCTCCTGTGAGAAGAGCATCCTGCAAAGCGCGGCCGATTTCCATAACCTTGACACCCTTCTCAAGAGGCAGCGGAACAGGCTTGTTCCTCAGGACCGATTCAGTGAACTCGTTCGCCTCCAGCGCAAAAGCGTCCTCAAAGCGCTGCCAGTACTCAGGCTGTACCTCATTCCGGATACCAAGCTTATCAGCGACAACGACATTATTCGCCCTCGGCACTACATTCACCGAGACTTTCCCCTCGGTGCCCGTAATCTCGGTACACACGTCGTGACCATGGGCCTGCGTGCGCGAGCAGTAAAAGTAGGCAATCTTGCCGCCCCAGAACTCGACGACGCCGACGCCGTTGTCGACGTCGTTCATCTGCGCGAGCTCCGGGTGGTGCTGTAGCGTGCCCGTCGCCCAACAAGACTTTGGAATCGGATCCGAGAGGTACCAAAGCGACAGGTCAATGTCGTGGATGGCGCAGTCGACAAAGATGCCGCCGTTGCGCGGGGCGTAGCGCACGAAGAAGCCCGTGTTGTCGAGTAGGTCGCACGTGTTTGAGCGGACGATGAAGGGGCTGCCGATGGCCTTGTTATCGAAGATTTTGGTGGCGGCGTCACGGTAGGAGGCGTCGAAGCGGCGGGAGAAGCCGGCCATGACCTTGAGGTCCGGTCGGGCTTTGGCGGCATCAACGCAGGCTGCAATCTAATGTGGTGAGGAGGTTAGCTCAAGGCCTGGGAATCGTGCCTGTTAGATCGCAATGGAATTCATGATGGTTGTACCTCATCCATCTTCGTACTCAAGGGCTTCTCGCACAATACATGGAGTCCCTTCTTGATTGCTGCTAATGTTTGGCTTGCATGGACATCGGTGCTGGTGGAGATCCACACAGCTTGAAGCCCCGGGTGAGAGAGCATCTCCTCGTACGAGCCGTACACTGTGACGTTGAACTCCTTGTACTCCTCGAATGAGCGAGCCCACTCAAGCTCGTGGGCTTCAGTGCTGCAGACCGCGACCACAGAGGCCCTCGGGACGCGGTAGATGAGGTTCTGAACATGGCGGCGACCCTGTGCTTTTGGTCAGCTGGGGCTTCTTCATTCGTGTTACCGTGATTATCGAAAAGTTCTAACCATTCGTCCTAGTCCTGCCACTGCGATTCTGAGAGGTTCCATAGCTGCTGATGTGTTCATGTTTTGCGAATGCGTCAAATTTTGGGTGTTTCGAGGGCGAAGATCTAATAAGCTGACTTCTTGATGGTGCAATTAAGCCTCTGGACCTCATCTCTGCAGATGCCACTCTATTTATCCTCCATGAATCCATTGCCATCTACTACTCATGGCAGGAGGAATATGAATTCCGTCGAGAACCCGCCAGCGAACATGTCGAGATGCCTTTGCGACGTATCAAGGCAAACGACTTCGTGTAGATACTTCCTCTCCTGGCGAAAAGGGAGAACGAGACGCGAGCACAACTCTCGGTGGTGCATAAGGTGCGAGGGCCACAGCCTCAAGACCTCCCCGCACCAAGGGACTACCTTCTCCCGCGCCGTCTGAAGAAGACTGATGGAACGAATGTGCGGGTTAGCTGGGGAAATGGTACATTTGATCGCTCTTCAAGTGCCAGTCAGGTCTCTCTGCCAGCGTGTAAGTCGTTGGAGTTTCCTCGGCCATTACTCGGTGCAGCTGCCGCTTCCCCCGCGTACGAGGATGCATGATGGAGGTGTGGAGGAGATTGGGGTGATGAGGGGAAAAGAACGGGCCGGACGTCGATCAGTCCAAGGCCATCGCCGACGCCTACCAGAATAGGTAATTCTATCAATGTCCCCTAGCGAAAGCGAAGGCTGGTCAGAAGTGTACCGTTTCAGGAGCGACCCAATGACGAGGGGTAAAATGTAAGCGGCGTCTCCAGGATATGTGCAGTCGGGTTGGTCGGTTCCTTCGAGTTCCTACGGCGGAAAGGAAGATATCCAGGTTGTGCCTCGATTCGGGTCAGTTGATGTGTTCCTAACA